ATTGCCCTCTCAGTGAATCGCAGGAACTTGGAGGAGTCAAGATTTGGATGCCTCTGGGCTGTCTTCAAGGCGTTTGTTTTTCCCAGAAAGTGAAGAGAAGTGAGTACGCGCTGCTTCTCTTTTGAAGGAGACTTTGATATCAGTATGGCACTGGAGCAAGCAAAAGTGCCAACTTTGGCCAACAAACCTCCGACATCCTCTGAACATAGTCAGCTAGAGCAGCTAGGGCTAGTCAGACAGATTACATTTGCCAGATCTTCTGTGTTTACCGGGACCAGCTGCGCTCTCATCACGCAGTACCTACTTTGCAACTATTATGCAAGCTTTGCCAGGATGTTTTCCAAGAGCATTTTGCAGAGATTTTTTTGTGTTTGTTTGTTTGTTTGTTTGTTGGTTGGTTTGTTTGTTTGTTTGTTTGTGACTCTGTGACCGTTGCAGGATGGTACCAGATGTACTGTGCGAATGCACCATGAAAGACTTTGGTTGATGACTCAGAGCGATACGCAACAGCAACATTATATAGACCGTATGCGCTAGGAGCAAGGACGCTACTAGGGGCTCCTGTCATCGCTACTGGGAACAAGAAGCTACTAGGAACAGAGGGCATCGCTACTAGGAGCAAGGACGCTACTAGGGGCTACGAGAACGATTCGAAGACAAACTGCTTTGCAGGATGCCTTAGCAGTCATTACCGGTCAATACTTTTCAATGGACAAGCACAAAAAAAGCGAATTCGACATGTTCATTTCTGTAGTAAATCGAAGTCGCCTTGCCATGTGTCAGGTACACCCCTGGGGCTCTGAGCTGAGCTAGACTTTCCAACGCGAAAAGGTCATTGAGTTCTGATGAATGTGACCCACAGGGTCGTAAACGAGGCTTAAACGATGGCTGTCGTAGAGAGCCCCTGAAATCCTCAGACATCGGTCACGGGTGGGCACACCAAGTCCTAGTAGCGATGACCTGAGCTACTAGCAGCGTCCTTGCTCCTAGTAGCGATGCCAGGAGCCCCTAGTAGTGTCCTTGCTCCTAGTGGTCACGTGTGGGCGCACCAAGTGCACCAAGTGACATGAAAGACATTACGAGCATGGCATCTTCACCAATCACCAGACCAGTCGGCACGGGCGCCCGTGCCACCGAGCCGGACGCTGAGGACGTGTCCTGGGACGTGACTTCTTCGCGGCCTGGCGTTCAGGCCGAGTGGGACGGGACAGCTGGAAAGGCATGAAGCCGAAAGCCTCATCCTCCACAACAAGGACTCAAACCGATCATGTCGTGTTGTTCGTGTGGGAAAAACCCGGACGTCCTTGATTCGTCCGTGCTGAACGTGCAGAACCTCTCCTCCTGAGGTGTGTTATACTCCTCCCTCTGGTGTGGTGGTGCAAGCCTTTAGCGACGCATCCATTCGTCAGAGCTGGCCACCCCAAAGCCCGGGAGCTCGGAGGGTGGATACCACATGGCATGAAAGGATCGCAAGGTTGGGTAATTAAAAGTCTTGAACAACATTCGGCTGGGCAATCAGCTTGGCCTTGAACTTGGCAGAGTTAAAAGTCGTAAAGGTTGGGCTTTCCTCTGGAACTGAAGTACCAAAACTCCACCGTAGCTAGCCTGGCCCCATTCCACACAGAAAAGCCTCACAGCCCAACCTCAACCACATGCCACAACGCAAGGTGCTCACAAAGTGGTTATTTAGCCGAGCACCATGCCTTGCGACACATCTCGGGAAGCTGGTGCTAGGACTCTTCCCCAAAGATGGTCGGGAAGCTGATCGCATGCTGCCAGGCTGGGGCCCTGTCGCAACGTTTATCGATCCCAGTATTGAAGTCATGATACGATGACGATCATTGCACGTCTTGAATATCAGACTCTTGGGATGGTAATTGCCAGCTCCATGCTGCCAGGTCAAGAGCAGGCGAGTAGGGTGGGAGTGGAGCTATTTCAACTCAAGACCAAGCTTTCTCTAGCTGTGCTTTCATCACCGTTCATTGAAGAGGATTGGGAGCTGCAAATTAGCCGATGAGCTGCTGCTTTCCTGCAGGATATCGAGCTAGCACGGGTGGCGACTGCCTTTGGTGTTCTGATGATCGAGAGGTGGGAAGCTGTTAGCAAGAATGCTCCTAGTAGTAATGCCCTTTGTTACTAGTAGCGATGCCCTTTGCTCCTAGTAGCGATGCCCTTTCATGCTCAGAAAGCCACAGGCTGTCTGGCCGCAAGGAGGTCTGCACCTGAGAAGAAGAAGTTCGCCCCAATGGCACGAACTCGGAAGGTGGATTGTTCTGAGGTGTTTCATGCTTCTGGAACTCGGGCATGGAGAAATCCTACGGTAGAGGCCAGGTTGTCACTCTGCATGGTGAGGGCTTTTTTGATGCGTCGTGAAAGAAGATCTACTTGAGCTTTGACACGGTTGGAATCCTTTCGAACATGATGATTGCATCATGCAGAATCCATTCTGCTTCATCGTTTTTGAGGAGCTGCAGGAGAGGAGCAGACACTTCACCCAGCTCGCAAGCAAGAAGGGCTGCGACGTGCCTGGGAGCGACACTGACAGACCGAGGACCCCCGTATATAATTGTTCTGCTATCCACGAATTTGCAGCAGCAGCGCCAAAAAAGATGTCATCTGTGGTTGCCTTGATTTTCATTTTAGGGGACCTCCCGTGCTTCCTCGACTCTACCCTCTCCTGTTCCATCACAGGAAAGGGCCACAATGCATGTTTAATGATCGTTTTTCTCTGTTCCAGTAGTTCTGAACCGTGCAGGGCATGTGTGCCCGAGAGCAAAGTGCCCGTTGAGCACTGGCTGCGACAATCACCCAAAGATCTCGAAGAAAAGTAGAACATGAGAAAGGGAATGGAATTTCCAGGATTGTTTTGAAGAAAAATAAGTTTGCCCATAGAAAATGAACAAAGTGGCACTACACCCCCCCCAAAAAAGCGCAATAGTAAATGGCATGGAAAGGTTCCGGTTATGAAATCCTTAGCAAACATTGTTTTTTTTGCTTCGGCATGCTGGGTTTGATACCTGGGAAGTTCCCCAGGACATGATCTCCACAGACCTCAGTTTTTTGAGCTTCCACAGAACAAGAGCATATGAAACCTGAGACCTCCATTCCGTGGGAGCTCTTACAAAGTCAAGACTTCTAGGGTGACCGGTACCACCATTGAGGATGTGGATGCAATCCACAGAGGTGTGAGTCGTTTGAGTCCAGACTTTGCATAGGTTCTGGGAAGAGAAGGCCTACTCAGCAGAGAGTACCCGCACCTCTCAAGAGTACTCCAAACAGTTATCTTGTGTACCTGGCGATTCCTGTCATTTTTGACTAGAACCACTGAGAAAAAGTTCATACTGGTTGATTAGCAGAGCTTTAAATCTTGAGAATAAGGATAATACGCGAATCAAGGCCTTTATGTATGAGCTCGCTATGGTTGGGCTGTCTGCCGGTGGGGGTCGGTTGGCCCGTTGCGGGCGCTTAGGCAGCAGCCCGTGCTTGTGCTCAGCGGCTTGCTGAGATCTGTGCCGCCTGGGAGGTCAGCTTGGGGCAACGCTAGTTGTGTTGCCGACATGATGTTCCCCCACACGATTTTACGGATAGATTGTTATGTATTCCATTATATCATTAGAAATTCCTTTACAGGTACATGACTCGATATAGCTATATACAGTATATATATATAATATATATATATATATGATCAATTTTGCCATTTTGCTGACGATGATGAAACTCACTTCATTTGTCCTTGTTTTGAAGTGCTAGAACCTCTGCAGGCCAACAACGCGGAAGTTGACGAAATGGACCCCGATGGGCAGATCAAATGTTTTGGCTTGCCTGAAAACTCAGCTGCAGGTATCTCCAACGAGGGACCGTGAAACTTCCACCAATTTCCAAAGTGAAAGCGAGATCGATGAGTTCACTGACTTTTGAATCTCAAAGTGCAGAATAGAAGTGTTGCTGGTGAATCACCGACGGACCGCTGTCAATCAACAGGGGATCTCTTCCAGCCAACATACTGGATCCGAGCAACAACAATGGCTTGCTCGTGAGAATGCAATTGATTCGCAGTGTTCGTCTCTGCCACAAATGTGTGATGATTTTTATCCTTATCCAACGACAAGAACCTGAGCTCAGAAACTCTTCCAAGTGCGCTGAGGCCTGGCCATTGGCGCGTGACAACGTGCCAGGGCCGCCGCTTTGGCCGGGCACGAACTGTCGAGGAGGTGGCTGGGAGAGAGCTAAGCGGTGTCAGGAAAGGGTTTCTGGGCGGTGGTTTAGGTGAAGAGCTGAGCAGTGGCTTTTTGTTGCGGGCGGAGCCGTTTAGCAACCCGCAAGTCTTGCAAGAAGAGTTTCCGAAGGTTTGACGTGCCTTTGACTGGATCTGAGGCAGAAGCCAGCGGCTCTAGGCTGAACAGCAAGCGGCCCTCGCAAAATGGCAGCGACCCGCGAACAGGCAGCAAGGCTGAGAGTGGCAGCAAGCCTGGCAGCAATCCGTCCAGCAAACCTCACAGCAAGGATGTTCCAGCCTTTCGCCTCAATGGAGCAGTCTTGCTGGTTTCAACAGTTGGAAGTTGGAAGAGACGAAACTCATTGGCTTTAGGATTCTGAATGGTTTGAAGACAACCCGAATCCTTCTCAATGAGTTGTGTTCTCTGTCAAGCTTCTTTTGATACAGGTGCAATTTAGCTCCAAGATCACCAATATAGCAAACTGAAGAAGTGAGGCCGAAGCAGAAGAAGAGGAAGAAGAAGATCTGGACAGAACAGCTTTGTCACCTCTGACCTCAACCACCACCTATGAGTTTTTCTACATGATTCCAGCTACCAAACTGATTGCTCTTGAAGCAATCAAAAGTCATTCCTTGAATACAAAGATGCAAGATAAGTGAAGACTGCAATGTATTTTGGGTGTCGTATCTGCCCTTCCTCGAAAACACGGTCAGCCAGAAATATCAAAGTCTTACGGCATTGAACAAGGGGTCGCTTCTATGATCCGGGTTAGGTTATGGAATGCACCACCTCCCTCGTATACCCAACGGTCACCAGGAGAGCGAGCCGGATCCTCCAGAGCCACCTCCTTCGCTTCAGGATATTTTGGAAGTCTCCTGGCCCCTTTTGGAGAGATTGGAGTTTTGTACCTTAGAGATCTTAGAATCAAGGAATGCGATGATTGAAGTTTAGCTGGAAGGATTCTACATTTCGAGTTGCTGTTGATGACATATCTTTTTCCTGTCCTGTGAATCTGCGATGGTCGTCAATTGCTCATTCCGTATCATACCCTGGGAAGACATGTTCAGAGCCTTAAAGGCCTCATTTGTGACGAGGCCGTACTAGTGGATGAAGGTGGGAACATCGAGTATGAGCTTGACCCCGTCTATGCCTCAGAGTTCTCGCGGGTTTTTGCGGCGTGCTTTTTGGTGCGGAGGTTGGCTGGTAGGTCACTCGAACACAGACACAGCCCCTCTTCCGGCCTTTCATCTTGTGAGGTCCCTATGCTGGTGCAGCGTGATCCCCACACAGGAATCACTACCACTACCAATGAGGAGGTGCGCTGGAAGCAGATGTTTTGGTTCCTGAAGGATTATATCCAAGACAGAATGGTTTGGCTAGTTTGGGTTGAAGAGTTCGCCCCCTGGCACGATGGATACATGTTAGGGCGGCTAAACTGTACCGATAGGATTTTGAGAGCGGTCCCTTTGCAGGGAATGATGATCTTGGCATACCCAGATGATCTGCCCGCATCTCAAGATGTGTTATGAAGAGTAACTGGCAATACCGCCAGCGAAACAAAATGAAACCATTAATTCCCTATAGGTGTGTTACTAGGAGCAAGCACGCTACTAGGGGCTCCTGGCATCGTTACTAGGAGCAAGGACACTACTAGGAGCTCCTGGCATCGCTACTAGGAGCAAGGACGCTATTAGGAGC